ATCACTTTCACTGGTTGCTGAGTGCCTTTATTATGCTTTACCTGTTGTCAAGACATTGCGGTGAGTATGCCCAGTTCATTGGTCATTGGGTACATGGTATAGAAACTTTCACTGACATTTCTTGGTGGGCAGGGCTTCAATCGCACTAACTATGTTAATTTCTTTATCCACAGACCAGTGTTCCAGTCTATGAAGAGAGCACTGGCTAGCAGGATCTCAAGAAGGTTCCTGTTCTGATGTTCTACAATGCTGTTTGTTTCCTTTCCTCAATTTCCTCTTTGGCAACATTCTCTCAAGATTTGTTACTTTCTTAAGATCACAATGAGAGTTGAGACAACCTCTTACTCCTCATCTGAAAAGCAGTCTTCCTATCATTTTATCACTCATTCATTATTTTTAAACTTAGTCATTAAAAGTTGTTTACGCATTTATTTAATTATTCATTCACTCATTTTTTAACATTCTCTGCCAGCACTAGTTGGGGATAGATCTGTGAGGGTTCAGCCCGGGCCATAAACTACTTTCTTCAACTTTTCCACACCAATTAAGATTGATGCACAAACTTTGTAATTGGGTCTTTGGGACATCATCCCTAAAGCACCTCAAACTTTCCAAGCTGGGCACATCTCCTCATCTCTTTCTAAATTACCTTAGGGATTGTGTAGTCCCATGGTGCCCAGCAAGCTTTGAAAGGCACTTCCTCTATCTGGCCACCTACTCCCCAAGAGGCTGTCAGCCAAGATGGAGCTGAGAGTCACCAAACTCAGGGAGTTTTGGCTGCCCGAAGTAAGCTGTCTAGTGCTTTGTTCAGCTTTGATCCTGCCAGGACATCCAGCCTCAATCAAATCTGATATATTTTCATGTTCATTCTAAGTACTTTTCAAACCACCACCAAATTCTAAAAGAGCCACCACCAAGCTCTATCAAATTCTATCAAACATAAAATTAATTTTAGGAAGATCTAGATATATATTTTTTTAGAAACCTAAGTCAACAGAAATACATTGTCATACCCACTGGATTTCCTGTGTAGAAACCTGAGTTTTAACTTTAACCAAAGAAAAAAGTCCTTGCCATTCAACCCTTTGGAACACCTCCACAGAGCCAAGGACATTGATCCAGAAGAATATGAAGGTGAGTGAGAAATGGGATGCTAAGGCAGAGTAAAGAGCCTGGGATTGGAATCAGAAGCCCTGGAAATTATTGATATTTGGGTTTCTCTCTCTAAATCACTGTGTGATGCTAGTACAGCCCAATCCCTTCTCAGGAATTCAGTTAGTTCCCCTTTGTATAACAAATGTTGACAGAGATGAACTGAAAGACCCTGGCCCTGCCAGGGTGTCAACTAAGTTGGGAAGAGCCTTTATTTGACAGCCAGATATTCAATACCAGTTTGTTTTAGTCCCAGGAGCCAAAGCAAAATTGTGGGAGAAAATGGTCTTGCCCAAGCTAGGACCTCATTTGACCCTTAGAATCTGGGAGAGGAAAAGGGAGGGGACATCACTTCAGACTTTCAGGGCTAGGGCATTGGCAGAGAGTGAGTGGAATGTTCAAATCATCCTAATGATGAGAACTCAAAACTATACTAAAGAGAACTCAAACAGTCAAAAGAGGCAGGAAAAGACTCTTTCCCTTCCCCTGGGGATGCATCATAAGGAGGCAGACTTTTAGTTTATTTTAACTAAGATCTGCTCAGGGAAGAGAGAAATGTAGAATGGACATTTGGGCTCTTAGACAAAACCTTCTGCCTCTTCTTTGAGGCTCAACATTTTGCAGTATTCCAACACAATCTCCCATTTGAAGACTCCATCATCAGCTGACGAAGAAAAGGAAAAGCTGGAACTCTGACTGGGAAGCAGAGTCCTTAATCCTACTAAGCATCCTGGGCAGTTTACTCCCCATCCTCAGGACTGTTCCTTTTCTGGCCATCTTTTCACATTGAAAAGGACTCTTGCTTTGTGTGCTGAACCCTGGTTACACGTCTAGGTGTCTGTACTAGTGGTTGTCAGTGCTAGATGTGTTTGTGTGTGCAAGAGAGCATAAGCGTGAAATGACTGATTCCTATGGCCATACACTAAGGCTAATGACTGTGTATGTACAACAAGAGCCTTATATGCAGCATATATATTAATGAAAAACAAGCCCACTGCCAAAGTTAATTCCAGCCATGACAACTCTTCATTGGGTTTCCAAGCCTATAATTCTTAATGTGAAGAGACTGGTTGTTTTTCTTCTGGAAAATAGCCGGTGTGTTAAAATGGTCAACCTTTCAGTTAGAAAATTAACAATTACACCAGTTGTTGGTTTTGTTGTTCACCATCAAGTCAGAACCGACCCATAGCTGACTCTCCAGCAGGTTTTCAGAGGCAGGTAATCACACTGGAGGAGACTGCCCATCTTTCTCCCACAGAGCAGCTAGCTGGTAGCCTTGAACCATGGACCTTTGGGATTGCATCACAGCCTTTTGCCACTAGGCCACCACTGCTCCCTAGGAATGTATATATACTCATAGGCACATTCATATTACCTATATGTCAAGCAGGTGTTTTGCACACATACATTTGCAGGCACATATCCCTGTGACCCTATGTGGAAGCGAACATTCTGACAAGTAACCAATGATTGCAGATATTGCCTAGTGACTTTAGGATGGTACAAACAAGAGGCTGTGACTAGCCCAGCACCAGGACTGCAGGGAAAGCACAATGCCATGTATGTGTCTGCCCGTGCTGATGCTCTGTGAAGTACAAGATGCCTGTCCTGGTTCTCAGTTTCACAGTTTTACAAATAAGCCTCAAAAGTAATTCACAGCTAATGCATCTCATCCCAGTACCATGATAACTCTAAACACAAGCTAAGACCTTGGACTCAGGTCCCAGGCCAGCTCAGAGCCATCCTTGCTGAAGCAATAGACTTTAATTCTCTGTGATAGAATGTTAGTACATAGAAGTGAGCACTGAGTATCATGAAAGAGTGGCCAAAAAGGGCTAGTTAGTAAAAAAAAAAAAAAAAATTAAAGGATAGAGGCCTTGGGAGACTTAACATCAGGTAGGAGTTTGTGATAATGTACATGGCCTACCAACAAAAACAGGTACTAAGGGAGTAATGATGCTCCCATCCTAGAGGCATGCAAGCATATGTAGAATGAGGCCAGATATGGATGAGTGAAGACTTCTAAATAGGACAGGTATAATTCATTAACCTGAGGTATATTTCTATCCTGGAGAGAGTGAAATCAAGTTTCTGTCTGGAGGCAAGGATTTCGAAACTCTGTCTCACATCATTTGGACATGTTTCCAGGAGGGACCAGTCCTTGGAGAAGGATATCATGCTTAGAAAGGAGCAACAACATAGGACGGGAAGACCCTGGATTGACACAGTAACTGGGGAAGTAGGGGCAGGTGTGTCAGAGACCATGAGACTGCCTCAGGATAGGACAGGATTCAGAGCTACTGTGCACAGAATTGCTATGACTCACAGGTGACTCAATGACACATAACAACAACAGCAAAGCACGTTTATCCTCATTTGTTCCCCTAATTCTTAGAGAGATCTGATGGTTTAATGGTAAGGAATTGTGCTGACAACCCAAAGGCAGGTTGTTTGAATTCACCTGCCGCTCATCTCTTACGTGATTTACAGTTTCTGAAAACCCATGGAAGGGTCAGCTATGAGTCAAATCTAGTTCAATGGCACAAAACAACAAGAAGCAACAATACCTATAACAATTCTGAAATAATTGAGTGAAGATAAATGTAGGAAGTGCTGTCATACAAGTGAGGCCAGTTTGGCAATGCTCTCCAAGGGATGACCAGATACCATGACAGGTTGTCTAAAAATAGTAAGAAGAAGCTGAATTGGGTTGGCACAGGGGAAAGATGTCTGTCCAGTATAGGCAACTTTTGGAAAACATGAAGGAAGTAAATATCTACCCTGAGCATAGTGCACATGTCCAGATGCCCAGAAGATTGCATTCCAGAATCACCAACCCATAGATACACTTTGTGAATTAAGTATTCCCCACTGCATGATGAGAGATTCAACAGATTGACCTCTCAAGGATTGTCCATGCTGATGTCCTAGAACGCCTAGAGGCAAAGTAGCCCTGGATCAGAATTAGAGAAAATAGGAGGCTTGTCAGAGGATGAAGGCAGATTCTAAAGGTTCAGTGCACACACAGTGACTGAAGGAACAGACTGAGGGATAGGGCACAGGTACAGGTGACACGTTAATTAGCAGCTTTTGGCCAAAGCACTGCTGACATGAGGTACAATATATGATTTGCACATGTATATGAGGCATAATCAGTGTATTGTTGAGTGGGAATAGTACAACCATGGACTCAGAGACTTCCTAAAGCCAGGAAGATCCTCAGAATTATAGGTACTTCCAGGTACACCACTTTCACGACCGTTTAGCTAGACCAGCAGTGTCCGTATCACCCAGATCAACTGAGTCAGGAAGCCTAGAGTGGAGCCCAGAAAGATGTTTATTAACAAACTCTCCAGGTACTATTCTGGAAAGCTAATGTGTAAAATCTTGGTTCTAAAAACTCACCATTTCTCAAACTATGTTTTCAGATCTGCAGAAGGTAAAGGAGGTAGAGGGTAAAAGGGAGAAAGGAGCATTCACTGCCAAATGTATTTGGAAAGCTCACCATACCCTATGTTGCTTTTAGAGAGTCACATGTGTATGAAAGCTTCTGGAATGTCTTTCAGTATAGATCTTGACTTAAATTTTATTAACCTACTGTTTCTTCAAATTGATTTTCAGATTGCCTCTGAACATTGCATATTAACACTCTTAATAAAATGCTGATTTGAAGAAATTCTTTGTTTATAGATAACTAAGTTGAGAACATGGAGGGAAGGGAGATTTCCTAAGTCCACAGAAAAGGAATCGAGTAGCCTACCTTCTCCCAGAAGAGGCTCTGTGAGCTTCTCATGACTTTGCCTCGTCTACTCCTCCTTCACAGTGTGAACCTTTCTAAATGCCACAGCATGGAGACACTCAATAGGACGGGGGTCCCCGAGTTCTTTCTGAAAGGATTTTCTGCCTACCCTGCCCTGGAGCACCTGCTCTTCCCGCTGTGTTCAGCCATGTACCTGGTGACCCTGCTGGGGAACACAGCCATTGTGGCAGTCAGTGTGCTGGATGTCCACCTACACACACCCATGTACTTCTTCCTGAGCAACCTCTCCATCCTGGACATCTGTTACACATCGTCATTTACCCCCCTGATGCTTGTTCACTTCCTGTCAACCCAGAAGACCATCTCCTTCACTGGCTGTGCAGTTCAAATGTGTCTGAGCTTGTCCACAGGCTCCACTGAGTGCCTACTACTTGCCATCATGGCCTATGATCGCTACCTGGCCATTTGCTGGCCTCTCCAGTATCCTGTGCTCATGAGCCGCCAGCTCTGCCTGTTGCTGGTGGGAGCTGCCTGGACCTTCTCCCTTCTCAAGTCAGTGACTGAGACAGTCATCGCCATGAGGCTGCCCTTCTGTGGTCACTATGTGATCAGTCACTTCACCTGTGAGATCTTGGCAGTGCTGAAGTTGGCATGCGGCGATACATCTGTGAGTGAGGCCTTCTTGTTGGCCGGCAGCATTCTGCTGTTGCCCATGCCCCTAACTCTCATCTGCCTCTCCTACACCCTTATCTTGGTCACCATTCTGAGGGTGCCCTCATCCGCAGGGCGCCGAAAAGCCTTCTCGACCTGCTCAGCTCACCTGGCTGTGGTGGTGCTCTTCTACGGGGCTATCATCTACATGTACATGAAGCCCAAGAGCAAGGAAGCTCATGTCTCTGATGAAGTCTTCACTGTCCTCTATGCTGTGGTCACACCCATGTTGAACCCTGTCATCTACAGCTTGAGGAACAAAGAGGTGAAAGAAGCTGCCAAGAAGGTGTGGAGCAGGAGTTGGTCCTTTAAGTGAGGTAGTGCAGAGCTCAGCACTGAGAGCGCTCTCAGGTTAGTAGATAAGGCCACCATCTGCTTTCAATGAAGCCAGAAAAGGAAATAAGCTTATGAGTCTAGGATCTTCATCCTAGAAATATCACAGAAGGCCACATCAAGTCACTGTGACACTGCCACAGAATTAGTTCACTAAGGGGGCTTCAGCTTCTTCCCCATTTCTCAGCATCAATTCCTAGATCTTCACATCAGTCTCCAGGCCAACTCCAAGACTTTCAATCTATCCTTCCTAGAGATCTATCTGAAAATAACACGCCATCAGATCATCCTTTAAGAGGAACTGTAAGAGGTTCCCACTGCCGTAGGATAAAATATAAGATCTCCAGTGGGAGATTCATCATGTACAAGCTTTCATAGTCTGACAGGTCTCCCATCTTTCTGTCCCACTGTCTCTCTCTTCATACCACACCCAGCAGCCAATATGTTCCTTGGGACCACCTTCATCAACTAGCTCAGGGCCTTTGATAGGTTTCTCCCAGAGGTTCCTCCCAAAAGTTAACCTCCTCCCAATCCAGAGCTGCACAGGTAAAATACTGTCTTCCCATTAAGGCTCAACTCAAACTCCACATCTACTAAACTCCTAAGTTTGCTTTTCTCATTGGGTTCCTCCTACTTTATTTTCAGTGTTATTCCTGGAGTATCATGCTCCTTTCTGTCCCAAGTTCCAGCCCTGCCCAAGCTTAGATCCTGTATATATTTTTTTAGTCATCAAAGAAGACACTAATGTAAGGGTGAAAATGGCAGACAAATCTGACTAGAATCAGGATTAGCTCTCAGATGGCATGCTCTGGGAAGAATGAGGCTTGAATCTAAGAACTGTCAAGTCCTTGAGACACCACTTATCTAGAGCATCCAGGATCTGACCTACTCACATAACCCACTGACCCATACCAGTGCTCTACTCTTGCCCTATTCAAAGTGTGGCTTTGATGTAGCATCTTCCTCCATCCCCACCACCTCACCCCATCCTCTATAGTCCTTCCTTCTCTGCACTTCCAGAGCTCTTCCTCTTTTTAGCTTTTCTTTCTGAGAATTCAATGAATGCACAGTGGACATGGACTCTGGGGAATGCATTCACACAGCAATTCTGTTCTCTGCACCAAATCTAGCTGACTTTTGCTTACTTACTTAATTGTTCATAATGAACAATTTTGAAACTGGTGTGAAATTGTTTTCTACAGATTGTTAAAGTCAGCCCATGCTCACCATGCTTATTATGACTCTGCTCAGTCATGGACAGTCATTATGAAAAGAGGCTTTGATTCTTTCAGAAGAGAGATACAGGTGTCAGCTATCTTTGAGGTGTTGAAAGAATATAATAATATTTACTACATTTCAACAAGTAAGTACAAACACATTCTTGCTTTTTTCGTTTCCTGGATAGTCTGACACTGCCTCTGGCCTTGGCAGCACCATCTGTATAATGGAAGATCTGATCCTGGCCTCCCAGCCACAGTACTACTCTCTTGATCCCTGGATGTATGAGTTCTTGGTTTATTCCTAAGCCTGCTTCCTGCTTTCTATGTTGGTCAGAAGCAGGTCCAGTTTAGTATATCAAAGTCATAGAGAAGCATAGCTCACAGTTCCCAGCTTTGGGGAGAGAGACAGATAAATCTCTTCAATAGCCAGGGATGATCTTCTCTTAGACCTTGAATCCGTAAATGTCAACTTGCTCCTGTGAACATTATGGTTTTCATTCTGATTAGCTTTTTAGATATCTCAGTGATTAAATACTTCACCTGTCAATATGGTAGAGAGGGTTGGGGTTTTGGTTTTTTTTGTGGGTTTTTTCTTGTTGTTGTTGTAACACCTTTTTGTCGGCTAAGAAACAGTAAAACAGGTGATGCTTGCTGCAGGAGATGAGAAGAAACTATATAAAGTTAGAAATATGAATCAAGAGTCTCAAAAGTTTCCAAATTCACTGAAGAGAATGAAAGGGGACAAAGATTCAAAGAAAAAACTAGTCCACAGGACTTAAGGTCACACAACCACAATCTTTCATAGGTCAAAATTAAAGGTACCAATTCCCATAATTCAAACCAAGGACACAATTGTTAGTGTTGTTAGGTGTTGGTGAGTCGAGTATGACTCATCTCATAGTGACACTATGAACAAGGAATCCGGACCTTATCTCTCCTGTACCATCTCCATTGTCTTTGACACACTTGAGGCCACTACTATAGTCACTGTCTTCACTCATTTCTCTTTCACTGACCCTTTGCCTTTCTGTGTATGATGCCTTTTTACAAGAAAGGGCTCCTCTTAACAACATGCTCAAAGTATATGAGGCAATATTTTACCATCCTGCTTTTAAGTAGCAGCAGTGGAAGGCCCCACATAGAATAGGAGAGAAATGTAGAACAAAGCTCATATTCTTAAAAATGTTCAGACTTACTAGACAGATAAAAACTAGAGAAGCCCTTGAGACTATCATTCTAAAAAGCATTTTTTAATTGGAACCAAATCACCTTTAAGACAAATAGTAGATGGCAAGTAAACAGTATCACTTACTTTTAAAGAATTAACTATAACAGACTAAACAAACAATCCACATTTACCTAAACATAAAGATGAGACAGCAAGGAGGGAGAGGTAAGCAATATAAATGAAAATAGCAAAGTCTATGATGGTGACACATTGGAAAAATTCTAACACAAATGGTTTTTAAAATATTTCCATGTCATTTGACATAGCATTTCTTTTTCTAGAAACAGTGTAAGAAAATAATTAGAGATGCAAGGTTAATCTCAAAATTATTCATAGTAACAAAACATAATAAACTATGTATCAAATAATAGAGGAATATTTAAATATATTCTGATACAGTCCATTTATAACTGATTTATTTTTATACTGGTCTTATACCATAAGTCCTTCTATAACTGACTCATTTTGCTTAACATAATGTCTTCTAGGTATGTCCATTTTGTGCAGTTTCTGGAAACACTTTTTATTGATTTTCTCTTGTCCTTGTCCTTATAGTGTTCATTGTTTACACATTCTATTTATATTCTCCCCTTCCTTCCACTACACCTCTCAGTTACCCTCCTATTTTCATAGTAACAGTCTTATGCAGTATTTGTCTTTTTTATGACTGAGTTATTTCATTCAACATAATTCCCTCTAGACTCCCTTGCTGTGTCATGTTTTATGAATGCTTCATTGTTTTTTAGGGCTGCATAGTATTCCATTATGTGAATATACCTCAGTTCCCTATTCATTTGTTTGTTGATGGGCATTTGAGATGTTTCCATTTTCTTCCTATTGTGAAAAGCACAGTGATGAACACAGATGTACTTATATTTGTTTGAATCTCAGCACTAATTTCCTTGGGGTATATTTCTAGCAGTGGAATAGCTGGGTCACCTGAGATTTCTAAGTTCAGCTTTTTGAGGAAATGCCAGACTGCTTCCCATAGTTGTTGCACCATTTAATAATCTCCCTAATAGTGCAATCCCCCTAATTTCTTTATATCCTCTCCAACATTCATTTATTGTTTGCTCTTCTGTTAATTACACTTTGCTGCTGCTGCGATGGGATTTTATATATATATATATATATATATATATATATATA